AACAGACTACTCGAGTAATCGACAGGTCGATTCCTAGGACATCTATCGAGTTTTTAAATTTCACGTCAAGTAATCGCAGTGACGTCATTGTGTCACGTGATCCGCACCGGGCTACTATTAGAAGCTACCAAATGGATTCCTCCCAGCAGATGGACTGAGCAGAGCAGGCCCAGTCTTTGCAAACAGGTAACACATCAAAAGTCTGGAAATATTTCACTAAAGATGAATCTTCTGGTTCAACTATCGTAAGGAAACAGAAAATGAATCCACTTCCTGACTGTTTGGAGCTCGTTGTGAACCGGTGTTACACCATATTCTGTGACCACCCTATATTGTGACCGTAGGGGGCGGTGTTGCATACACTGCTGCAGGTCACAGAATATGGTGTAACACTGGGTCCAATCAACCGAACCAGAACCAGCTTCCTTCAGACCTTGATTCACAAACTAAAAGCAAAAAATATTAATCTATAAAACCTATTAAAAAAAAACATAAACATAAACATAAACATAAAACATAAACATATTAATCTCTAAAACTAAACGTAATGCGCACCACAACTGGAGGTGGTGCGGGGTGGTCTTCTGCTCCACTGTTTTTACTTTCGTTTCTGATGTGCCACAAGTTATTTTGTTCACTTTTGCAATAACAATAACTACTAGTTTTGGTTTTCCTGTGACTTATTTGCAGTATGATAAATGGTAGGAGCATCGTATACGCTCCCAATGTTTTGTTGGTCTTTTTTTGTAAATAATAAATTACTTTTTGTTTCGAATTTATTTATTTATTTATTTTCATCTTGAGATCCTATGACATCATCAACTACTCGAGTTCTACTCGAGTTTTATTATGTTATTGTCGAGTTTAAAAATTGCGTAGTCGTTCTTCCCCTAATACTGTATATATATATAAATATATATATACTGTGTATGTATATATATATATATATATATATATATATATATATATATATATATATATATACTGTATATATACACACACATATATATATACTGTATATGTACACATATATATATATATATATGTATACATATACATATACACACATATATATATATATATACATATACACATGTATATATATACATATACATATACATATATATATACATATATATATATATATATATACATATACACATGTATATATATACATATACATATATATATATATACATATACATATA